TCATTCATTAATCCGATACGGCGAGAGTGTCCTTACAGAGCGTGCGCTGATCACGACTCTCGATCGTTCGAGTGACCCCCTTCGAGTTCGCGCGCCCGTGTGTGTGTGTGTGTGTGTGGGTGTGATACGTCCTACGATATACTCGTGAAATCGAGAAGTACCTACCAGCTCGTCGACAAGGTGGATCAAACATCGAACACGGAGAATGCGAATAGGTGAGAATGACTCACGATCAGACTCGATTTCATACGAACGTTCTAGGAAACGAAGGAGGAGAGGCTCACGCGTGGCTCCGTTTAAAATAGCCGATGCTAAGGAATAATCGATCAGCCTCGCGCCGACGTTACCGTCATACGCGCGTTTCGATGTATCTTTTTTTTTTTTTTGTTTGTTTGTTTGTTTCTTTGTTTATTCTCCCCCCTCCCTTCCCCTCCTCTCCCAAATATTTCGTTTCGTTCGAGAATTATTTTTTCGACGGGGTGAACGTTCGGGGTGAAAGTAATGTATACACATAGGACGAATACAAGAGAATATTATCGAGAATTTTACGTGAGTTAAAGAATAGATTTACGCTCTAAATGGATATACGATACGCGTTTGTGGACGTGTAGATTGTTAAAAGAGCGCGTCACGAGGCGATTGATTAAAGAAGATATTCCAGTTCAAGGCATGCAAGTTTCATCGATTTTAACGTTTCATAAACGTGTGTAGACGGCTATTTTTACTTTCTCTCGTAGTAGACATCAATTTCCCGCGTCATAATCGTCGGTATACACGCGCAACAAGCTTTTGAAACGAGTACGCGTGTTCCGTGGAGCGGAATCGAACCGAGGAGAGGATCCTTTTTATCGTCGATCGATGCTCTTTCGGGGCAGGTGGTTGATCCTCGTCTCGAAAGTTAACGGAACTAATGGATTTCAAGCTTCTGCTCGCATCGAGGAGGCGCAAAGTCGCCTGAAGCAAATCGCTCGTGCCACGGCTACTCTCGAAAGGGAATTCAAAACGCCATTCGCGATGCTCGGCCAAACACGCGCTCTGTCCTTTTATCGTTCTTTTATATCGTTTACCACTCGATTCGCTCGAAACCGAACGGAAGAAGTGGCGCTTCTTTCACGGTTTTTCTACCACAAACCAGAAATGCGACCGTCGAGTAATCTCTCTCCGAGTTCCACTCTATTCCCACTGACTTTACAGCACGCTGGATTTAATTCCTTTTCCACGATCCAATTACGCTTCTTTTTATTTATTTATTTTTCTTCTCCCCTTCTTTTCGTTTCTTCTAACCGCTTTTTTCCCCCATGGCTTTCTCTCGTTTTTTCATTTTTTCTTTACGCTTTTTCCTTTTTAATTACGATTGCACTTTTTGCCTCTGCGTTGCAAATAAATCGGCAATAATTGATAAAAGACAGATAAACATCGCTCTTTATTACAAAGGATAAATATTCATTCACCCGCGAACGAAACTATATATAACGCGTTACAGATAGTTATCAAACGTGAATCATTCGGCGTCCACTGATTGCTACTTGTCGTAGCTTGTAGTAACTTTATCTTGAAGCAAGTTAACGCGAACAATGACATGATGTCAAAACTATTTATAATTACACGCTATATATATATATATATATATATATATATATATATATAG